CGGCTCTGATTGGCTTTGCTCCATTCGGGACCCGCCCCCTGACCAATCAAGAGTGGCCTGAGGGTGGTGTCCTATAAGGACCGGGCTCCCGGAGCGGGTGGCTCAGTCAGTTCGGCGTCTGACTTGGGCTCAGGTTGGGATCTTGGGGTCCTGGGATGGAGCCTGCATAGGGCTCTGCGCTCAGCGGGGAATCTGCTCCTCCCTCTGCCTCTGCCTCTTCCTCCCCCCCCCAACCCCCACCCCGTGCTCTCTTTCTCTCTCTGTCATATAAATAAATAAAATCTCAGAAAAAGAAGAAGGGGAAGAGGAAGTGGAAGAGGAGGAAGAAAGGAAGAAGAGGGAAGAAGAATAAAGAAGAGGGAAGAGGAAGAAGAAAAGAAGAGGGAAGAAGAATAAAGAAAAAGAGGAAGGGAAGAAGAGGAAAAGGGCGCCTGTGTAGCTCAGTCGGTTAAGCCTCTGCCTTCCGCTAAGGTCATGATCCCAGGGTCCTGGGATCGAGCCCCGCATCGGGCTCCCTGCTCGGCGGGGAGCCTGCTTCTCCTTCTCCCACTCCCCCTGCTTGTGTTCCCTCTCTCGCTGTGTCTCTCTCTGTCAAATAAATAAATAAAATCTTGGGGCGCCTAGGTGGCTCAGTCATTAAGCATCTGCCTTCGGCTCAGGTCATGATCCCAGGGTCCTGGGATCGAGCCCTGCATTGGGCTCCCTGCTCCGCAGGAAGCCTGCTTCTCCCTCTAAAAAAAAAAAGAAAATAAATAAATAAATAAATAAATAAATAAATAAATAAATAAAATCTTAAAAAAAAAAAGAAGAAGAGGGAAGAAAGAGAAGAAGGAGGAGGGGGAGGACTGGGGCTCTAATGGGAACCACACAGTTGGGTAAGGGTGCTCTGGGAAGAAGGGGGGGGGTCAGGGCAGCAGAGTGGCTGGTGCCCTCCAGAGGGAGGGGGCACATTGCCTGAGCATCTACGCTGTGCAGGAACTTTGAACTCCCATAAGATATTCTCACCCTCAAGTCACAGATGAAGAAACCAAGGTTTTCGGACAGAATGGGATGGGACAGCTAGTAAATGGCAGAGCCGGATCAGAGCCCCCGTCTCTGGGTGCCAAGGCCTGGCCAACCCCGATGCACCACTGCTTCATCCTCACAAACCCTTTTTTTGCAGAGCGCATGCCTTCTTGCAAGACTGTAAGGCCCTGAAGGCGGAGAGATCACGGTGGATCTCTTCTCCCATCCCCAGAGCTAGGCATTTCTCCAAGTTGGGCAGATCCCTAGTTGTCTATCCAGGGGTCCTCCAGGGAATTCGCACTGGTAGAGAAAAGAGCAACAAACATTTTGACATAAATTCACCAATGATGGATGCAAGGTTGATAATGATGAGTTTCGGAAATCTCCCCGTGCTCTTAATAATCATTGTCCTAAAGGTTGCACGTGAGCCACAGGGACTGTCCTGGCCAGTTTACCTCAGCCGGATGCATTTGCATATTATTTGCCTGTTAGAGTTTGCATGTGTTAAATTTGCATTTTCTTTATTACTATAGTATTGCATTATATCCCTCCAACTCAGAGCTGGAGTCCACAGCTCAAAGTGTCTCCCTCAGGCATAAATGTGGGGGTGCAATGAGACATATGAATTCTAGAACTCCTAATGAGTGAACATGAACACGGTAGCAGGAGAAGGATGCGAATGCAGGCAAAATTGATTAATTTTGATGCCAAAGGCAGAGGAGATGTCCAAACTATAGAGACCCCATGCAACGCCCCTTTCCTTCTAGCAAGAAAAGAGAAACCAATCTGAGAGGGTAGGAAAACTCTGGGGCTCAATTGTGACCCCACCCAAATTCGGAAGTTGAACTCCTAACCCCTGGTAGCTCCGAGCATGCTTGTATTTGGATAGAGGGTCTTCAGAGAGGCAATAGACTCAAACCAAGGTCGCTGGGGTGTGCCTAATCCAGAGGAGGTTAGGACACGGACACACCCAAAGGTCAAGGAGAAGACAGCTGTCAACAAGCCAAGGAGAGAGAAGGCCTCAGAAGAAGCCAACCTTGGTCTTGGACTTCTGGCCTCCAAAACTGGGGGAGCATAAATTTCTGTTGCTTCAGTGCCCAGCCCATGGTATTTTGTCACGGTGGTCCCAGGACACGAGTACACTGCCCAAGATGGGCTGCCAGAAATCACGTTCAGAAAGCATGACATGCTGCAGGCAGAATTCCTTAACCCAAAGACATGGTTGGAGGTCACAGAGTGTCAGCTACGCCCTGCGTGGAAAGGCAAGGAAGACCACAGGAGGGACTAGTAGACATTTTTGTCTTTTGGGTGAAACCACTGGCGTCTCAGCTCTTGGCCTCTGACAGTTTGTGGATGAGTGCGAAGTGCTTGCTGGCTTCCGTGTGTCACTGAGAACCCAGGCTCCGGAGAAGAGATGGTGTGTGTGTGTGTGTGTGCGCGCACGCATGTGTATTTTAACCACCCCCTTTGTTTCAACAACGGACAAGCCACATTTTTTTTTTTTTAAGATTTTATTTATTTATTTGAGACAGAGAGCATGAGAGGGAAGAGGGTCAGAGGGAGAAGCAGACTCCCCGCCGAGCAGGGAGCCCGATGCGGGACTCGATCCCGGGACCCCAGGATCATGACCTGAGCCGAAGGCAGTCGCTCAACCAACTGAGCTACCCAGGCACCCAGGTTTACTTTTGATACACGATTCATTCATTATAGTCTGTGTGCTATTTAAGTGGATTTACAGATTGCATTACCTAGGGTTTTTTTTGTTGTTTTTTTAAAGATTTTATTTATTTATTTGAGAGAGAGAGAATGAGAGCGAGCATGAGAGGGGGGAGGGTCAGAGGGAGAAGCAGACTCCCTGCTGAGCAGGGAGCCCGACGCGGGACTCGATCCCGGGACTCCAGGATCATGACCTGAGCCGAAGGCAGTCGCCCAACCAACTGAGCCACCCAGGCGCCCTGACCTCAGTCTTGAGGGAGCACCAAATACAATTGGAATGAGAGGTTGTGCACGAAGGTCTTTCCATTTTCCCGTTACTCACAGAGACCTGTGGGGGCTCCGCAGAGCCCTCCTTGCCTGGCTTTGGTGGGGAGGGAGATGGGGAAAGATAAGAAGCAAGCCAAATTGCAGCCGGCAACGATGTGTCTTTTTAGCATGCTGAAATGCCCCCCCTTGCAGGACGGGGTTTCCACATGCACGTGGAAGCCTTGCGTGGGAACTCTGGAAACACCGAATGTGATCCTTTTTTTTTTTCCTTCCTGACACTGTTAATTCCAGTAAAAGCCATTTCCCTGATTTCAAATGATTCACAAGCATGACATTTCTTAGAAGTATCTTGTTTTGCCTGAAGGTGTTCCGTGGCCAAATATCACGGTTTTCATGGAGACAAGCTGTGGGAACTTCTAGAAGATAGAAGGGTGGTGCAAACAGCTCAGTTGCTGACAGTTTCGCTCTTTCCCAACCTGCTCCAGTAAAACCAAAATAATAGTAATTTTAGCAAGCATTTAGCAAAGACGCCCTTCCTGCGTGTCACGCACGGTTTGGAAGCATCTCACATTTCCACACTCATATAATCCGTGAATGAGTGTTGGAGGCAGGTACTTCCACCCAGATTCCCAGATGGGGCGAAGCTGTTTTCCAAATTATTGCTGTGACTCAAGGAAGGTGTTGAACTGAAGAATTCCATGACTACGGACATAAGCATAGGATGAATTTTCACAAACGATGCCCTCTATGAGCAGCACCAGGAGCCCCCCTGAGATCCCCCCCCGCCAGTCACCCTCCCCATGGGGTCTTCTCGAACCCCATCAGCATTGTCTGCTTTGCACTTTCTGTGTGCCTGGCTTTACTCACTCACTCTGATGCCGGCGAACTCTGTCCTTGCTGGTGCTGGGTCACTGTGACTTCCCAGTGTTGTCTGTGGTTCCAAGGTGTGAATACACCGCATTCTCTCGTGGTAGAGACCCATTCTCTCGTTGATAGACTTTTTTTTTTTTTTAAAGATTTTATTTATTTATTTGCGAGAGAATGAGTGACAGAGAGCACGAGAGGGAAGAGGGCAGAGGGAGAAGCAGACTCCCTGCCGAGCAGGGAGCCCGATGCGGGACTCGATCCCGGGACTCCAGGATCATGACCTGAGCCGAAGGCAGTCGCTTAACCAACTGAGCCACCCAGGCGCCCATCGTTGATAGACTTTTGGGTGCTTCTGATTTGGGGTTATTATGAATGAAGCGGCCATGAACTATGGTCCCAGATCTGGGGGGAACATGGGTGTGATTTCTGTTGCACGTACCCGGGGGTGGGATGCGCTAGGTCAGCGGGCGCGTGTCTTTGGTGGATGTTGCCAAAATGTGTTCCAAAGCGGCCAATGCACACTCACGGGTGGTGCATGGGGGCTGTCTCTTCCTCGGAACTCTGCTGGGGGGTGTGCGGTGCGATGACCTACCCATGTGCTTTTAATTCTCACTTCCTTGCTGACTAACACATTTGTGCATCTCTGAGCTGTTTACTGGCCACATCCGGATCCCCTTCTGTGAGGTCATTGGTTCATCCCCGCCCACCCCCACCCCTGCTTCATCACATTGCTTTGTAGGACTTCCCTATAGATTTGGGATGCAGACCTTTGCCATACATTTCTGCTGCAGACGTCCTTTCTCCCTCTGTGGGTGACCTTTTTCTCTCTCTTCTCGAACAGAATTTCTTAAATTTAACGCAGCCCAATTTATCAATCATTTCCTTTGCATGAATGCTTTTTGTGTCCTTTTAAGATGTCTTTGTATAACCCAAGATGAAGATATTCACTTACGTTTTCTTCTAGAAGGTTAATTGTTTTACGTTTCTTGTTTGGTTCTCAATCCACTGGGAAGTAGTTTTTACATATGGTGTGGGGCATGGTGTTGAAATTCACTTATGTCCCTATGGCTATCCCACTGAGTCAACACCATTTATTTATTTATTATTATTTTTTCTTCTTCTGTGTTTTGTTTTTTTTTTTACAGGGAGAGAGAGAGAGACAGCGAGAGCAGGAACACAAGCAGGGGGAGTGGGAGAGGGAGAAGCAGGCTTCCCGCCGAGCAGGGAGCCCGATGCGGGGCTCGATCCCAGGACCCCGGGATCAGGACCTGAGCCGAAGGCAGACGCTTAACGACTGAGCCACCCAGGCGTCACGAGTCAACATCATTTATTAAAGGTGTGTGTTCCTGTCGCTATTATTAGTTTTTGAACTCTTACATTTTCTTACTCTTATCTCAACGCTTGTGTCTTCTTAAAAATTTACTTAAAACTGAAGGTGCCCAGTGACAAGCAGGGGCTGGGCAGCTGGTACCACAGAGACCAGCCCCCTTCGCTGAGCCCGCTCTGTGTGGCTGGTACTGCCCGGGACCATACAGCCGCCTCCTGGGTAACAGCTCACCCTGCCCGCTGCCCGCTGCATCCCCATTCTGCAGGGGAGAAGACTGAGGCTTAGGAGCCAGGGGACGTGCCCAAGGCACACAGCTTGTGCCCAGCAGCTCCAAGGTGGTCGTGAAGGAGAATGGTGGTGATGAGCCTGAGCACCTGGGGTGAGGTTCCAGTTCTCAGAGCACTGTGCATCGAGAAAGGGGCTGGTGACCCAGGACACTGGCCCTGGCTGGCCCTGGCTAAGAGAATGGGAGCTCAGAGCCCACGGCGGGGAGGCAGAGCCAGCAGAACAGGGCACATACCCCCGGGGGTTGAAGCGGAGACATTCCTGGGGTTTCCTGGAGGAGGCGTGGACAGGGCTTGTGGGAGGAGTCTTCCTGGGATGTGATCCCCAACACATGGAAGGCACGTCGGAAATGACAGGAGTCTGCCTCTTTGGTTTCTTCCTCTCACTTGGAAAAACCCCACCTCAGGCCAGGAAAGCCCAGCCATGGGTCACAGAGACATAATTGGTATTTAATCCATTCGGAGAGGGGCGGAGCAGCGAGGGAATCTGCCGGATCTGGAGCCAGATGCCCAGATAATTTGGTTAGGGCCAAAGCCGTGCAGACAGAGAGCCCGACGGGTCCTGGGAGGGCCGATGGAGGGAGGCTGTGGGCTGCAGAGCCACAAGCCCTCGTGGCTGGCGGGCTGGCCCCGTCCACCCCCATGGTGCCTCCCTGGACAGGCCCCCAGGTAGCCAGCTCTGCACCCTGAGTCCGGGAGGGAAGGATGAGCATTCTTCCTAGTTTCTTCATGAGGAGATGGAGGCTCTGAGCAGCCCGTAGTCTCCTGGAGGATGAAGAGCGGAGTGGTACTACGCTGCGGCATGTCCAAGGCGGGGAAGACGATGGGGTGGGTGGTGGGGAGTCCGCACTGGCCTCCAGCCCCTTGTCCTGTCCTCCTTCTCTGGCCTAGTGGGACCGGAGGGCCCTGGCATTTCTGCCCGTCTTCTTTCCCACTGCCCCCCGAAGGAGACCCAGGGACAGATTCAAGTCCAGGGAGTCGGCCTCTCAAAGCTGCCTGAGGGAGTATATGGGGGGCACCTGTCACCCCCCTCCCACGTATGTCCATGACTCAGGGGACAACTTCAAGTCCTCCCTTGGTTCCGGAATGATTGATGCACCCTTGGCTGTGCTGTCCTTTGTCCTGCTTTTCTGAGGAACAATGTTTTAAGTTGATTAGGGGACATTCCTATCTCCTGATTGTTTTGTTTTGTTTCGAATAGAAGGTCAAAGCAGCTTGGACTGAGGCAGTCGGGGAGAGAGTCGGACACGCCCCAGGGGCCGCTTCATCCTGCCCTTTGGTGGGAGCAATAGCCCTGCTGAGGCCTCCCATGGACACTGATGGGGCCCCCAGACAGCAGGAATGGGGCAGTTGGTGGGTGTGGCTGGCAGGCCCCCCACTCTCCACTCGCTCTGGCCTTGCCCTTTGTTTTGGGGGTTGGGGGGCTCTACTTCATGGGAGGAATTTCTTTTTTTAAAGATTTTATTTATTTATTTGAGAGAGAGAATGAGATAGAGAGAGAGAGCATGAGGGGGGAGGGTCAGAGGGAGAAGCAGACTCCCCGCCGAGCAGGGAGCCCGATGCGGGACTCGATCCAGGGACTCCAGGATCATGACCCGAGCCGAAGGCAGTTGCTTAACCAACTGAGCCACCCAGGCGCCCCCACGGGAGGAATTTCTTAAAGTAAAATGTTGGCCATTGGGGGGTTGGCCTCGCTCCTTCCTGCTGGGTCTGGGCCCAGCTGCACAAACCCAGAAGAGCCTGGCCCTCGGCTTTCTCACTAAGCCCTGGGGTCCTGGGGACCCTCACTGGCTGCAGCCTGGGTCTCTGTCCGTCATCTGCAAAACAGAGACCGCTATTCAGTCCCGCCTTCGAGGCTGCGGCAAGAGGCAAAGCGAGCTGGCTGTCAGGCTCCCTCCCCGTGTGTGCTCATGGTTTCCCCTCCTGGAGACTCTCTGTTTGATGAACAGATGCCCAGAAGGCCTTGGAGCCAAGCCAGCCTCCTGTGGATGCTCTGTGGCCAAGAGCCATAGATGAATGGCAGGAACTCCGGCCGGGGGAGAGCAGAACTCACGAGATCACAGTTCACAGGGATGATGCACTGGTTCTCTGGGCGCCAGGCTGAGGTCCCCGGCCGGCTGCAGGCTTTCCCCCGCCGGCCCAGCAGAGGCCCGGCTGGGTCTGTGTCCAGCCCTCGGCAGAGGCAGCCGGGCACCTGGAGAGACCCCCCAGCATGACAGGACATGCTGGGGACACTGTTGTCCCAAAGAGAGAGGACGGGCTGGGTGGTGCACGGACGGGCAGGAACGGGGGTCCCCAGGACGCTCATTGCTCTCGGCCTCATACCAGCCTCCACTTGGGGGACCCCAAGACCACGACTGTGTGGACATGCGCTATCCCCCGACACAGCTCCTGAGCTTCACAAGGAGCTCCCACTCAATCCTGAGAGCAGCCCTAGGAGGCACCCAGTAAGGAACCAGGGGAACAATATGAGCTTTGCCAGGTACCCCGTTCCTGGCCCAAGCCAGCAGCTTCCCGCACACCCAGAACATGCTGTGGGGCAGCCACCAAGCTGCTTTCTGCTTCGAGAGGTGAAGTGATAGCCGAGGGCAGCAGAGGAGGGTGGGGCCCCTTGGGAAGAACCAGCGAACATTCCTCTCTCTGCGCCCCACCCCAGCTGACCTGAGACCTGCAGGCTGGAAGGAGCCACTTTATTTATTTATTTATTTTTAAAATATTTTACTTATTTATTTGACAGAGAGAGAGACACACACAGCGAGAGAGGGAACACAAGCCAGGGGAGTGGGAGAGGGAGAAGCAGGCTTCCTGCTGAGCAGGGAGCCTGATGCGGGGCTTGCTTGACGTAGGGCTCGATCCCAAAGGCAGACACTTAAGGACTAAGCCACCCAGGCGCCCCTGGAAGGAGGCACTTTAAACTCCATGGGAAGACTCAGGGTCAGAGTCAGCGCTCCCCACCCCTCCCGCCTCCCCCCCACCAAAGAATTCAATTGTCTGGGGCGGTTGGCACCCCACAGCTGCCCTGGCTTGTTCTCCCCACAGCCTTTCCAACAGGCAGGGCAAGGAGCCAAATTCCATCTTCAAGAGGAGAAAGCTCAGGTCCAGAGAGGGCAGTGGGCTTGGCCAGGACCACACAGCGTCAGCGACAGGACTTGGACCCAAGCCTCCTGAGGTTGAGGAGAGAGTGGGCCCAGCCAGTCCGGGGACTGGGCACTGATGCAGGGGTCCCCCTCCCTGGCCCAGGGCACTGTAAGAGCCAGCCACTGGGCCCACGAGGCTGGGGAGGGTGTGTGGGCAGCTCTTAGGGTAGCCCCAGAGTGGTCCCTGCAAGTCCCTGCCCCTGCGTGCTGCCAGTCTCTGAAGCCAGGGGAGCTGGCTGTGACCGAGGGAGCTGCATGGGGGTGCAGGGGCCACGGGAGCCCAGAGCAGGGGTCCGACCTTCACAGCTTTGTGAAAACACATCTAGGTTTAGATTATTTTTAGTTACTCTGCTCAGTATATGTTGTGAATCCTCTATTTGTAGATTCATGACTTGCACCATTTCTGGAAAATTCTCAGCCATAATCTCCTCATCTGCCACCTGTCCTCTGAGCTTGCCTTCTGGGACTCCTTCTTATTCTGTGCGGTATTCCTTAGCCTCCTTCACACGTTGATCTTCTTGCCTCTCTGAGCTGCTTAATGAGTGGTGTTTCTTCATCCCTGTCTCCCAGCTGGTTCTTCATCCCATCCCAGCGGTGGATGAAGCCCCTTTCTGCTGAGAATTTAATTTTTAAGATTGTTTTTAATATCTTCATGTTCCATTTGGTTTAATTTTAAATCACCCTGACCACTGCTGATGGTCTCTTGTCCCTGATCACTATTTAATTTCATCTTTTATATTTTTAAATATTTGGAACTTGGTTGTTTTATGTTCTGTATCTGATGTCCGCTCTCTGTAGTCCTCGGTGGGGGCAGGGAGTTATGTCTATATTTCCAGCATGTTTTACTTCAGCTGACTCTCATTCATAATGGCTTATTGCCATGTGCACGTGTGTGTGTGTTTTGTAAACTCATATGTTGTTTAACTTAACCTGGAAACTCAGAGGGCCCAAACCAGGGATGCCTTTCCCCTATGAGGCTTTGCACTTGCTTCTGCCAGGAGCCAGGATCCTGGGTCATTACTAACCTGGGACTGTTAGGAGTTAGTTGGACAGTTAAGTGGTCAGGGTCAGGGTCAGGGTCCTCAACAAGAAAAGATGGAATCAGGACAGCTAAGATAAAACAGCGCTGACATCCTGTTCTGCAGCTTAGACAGGACCCACACTGACATTCTGCTTTGCAGCCTTTGCAGAAATGACTTCTGCAAAAACATCCTAAAATAAAATAATTAACCACAAGGCCTTTGTCAATATCACAGGCAAGGGGCAGTTAGGACCTAAGTCCCCAGATGTCGGCCACAAAAGACCATCAGCGCATAGACATGAACCTAATAGGTAGACAGATACGTGACCAAAGCCCTGATTGGCACGACTCAGCACAGCCTGGTTGCTTAAGATAGCTTTGCAAAAGAGCTCATAAAATCCCCTAAACTTAGAAACTCTGGGGGCAACCATCTTGGGCCCCCCTCCCTCTCCAGGAGTTTTATACTATTGCTCAATGAACTTTGCCTTGCTGCCCACCACTCTTCATCCAGTCTACCTCTTCATTCTTCGAAGTGGCGTTGACCAACGACCATGGGCACTAAAGGCAGAGAAGTCCTGCAACAGGACCCCGGTGCCTTTCGAGGATCCTAGCTTCCTGTGGGGGGAACGGGTTTCCTTGCCCCTTGCACGCCACGTGGCCCAAGGCTGCTTCTCCAGGGTGTTCTCAGGTCCCCTGCACTCTCACTCTCCACCGCACTCCTGCTATGTGGCTGGTTCCGGCCTTGGCTCTTCTCCTGATTTGAGAATTCCAACTGGCAGGTGCTTCCCACACACTCCTTGCTCTTTCCCACCTCTGGGCTTTTGCTCAGGCTGTTCTTTCTGCCTGGAACATATTTTCTTTTTTTTTTTTTATAAAGATTTTATTTATTTATTTGAAAGAGAGAGAGCGAACTTGCAGGGGAGGAGCAGAGGGAGAAGGACAAGCAGATTCCATGCTCTGTGCAGAGCCCGATGCAGAACTCGATCCCACGACCCTGAGATCATGACCTGAGCTGAAATCAAGAGTCTGACGCTTAACCGACTAAGCTACCCAGGCACCCCCTGGAACACATTTTCCAGCTGCTTTTCCTCTTCTTTCTCATCAGAAAGCTTTCCCCAACATGCCTTGCTGGGACAGACACCTCCTCTGGTCTTCTGTGGCCCCCTGGACACGCCCCCCCTACCCCTGTCCACTGATTTGCCTGTGCCCCTCCCTAAACAGTGAGCCTCAGGCAGCGCAGAGCCCACTTGGAGGGTGCTCAGCGAGGGTTTGCTGAATGAGTGCATGAGTTGGCCTATGTTAGTACCCCGAGCTGCTGCTGACTGAATGCCTGAGTGTTCAGTCACACTGAGGGAGCCCCGAAGTCCGTAGTCAATGCCCGGGAGGGGGTGGGTGGGGGCGTGTCACAGCCCACATGGTGGGAGGCCTGGCTCCGTCCAGTAGTAGGTGCTCCTGCTTGGAACTCATGCACTCCCATCAGGTGACCATGCCCTGGGAGCATGGCTCCCACATGTGTCCATCCCAGGAGGCCTGAGGCCCAAGCTAAGGCTTCACGCCCCCCTTCCCTCTGATCTCTGGGGACCAGAGGAGGCACCTGGGGATCTTCAGCATCTGGCCCAAACAGCAAAAGGCCTCAGCCTGCTCATACCTGGAGACAGACTAGGGGCCAGAGTAAGTCTCTGGGGCTCCCTCCTCCAGAGCCTACCGTCTGACCCTTTCCCTCACTCACTCTTCTGTCACACTCTCCGGTCCCCTGTGCCTCTCCTGGCTTCCCTGTGCTCTCCAGACCGGGCCAGCCCCCCACCCCCACCCCCGCCCCGGCCTCCGGGGATGCTCCCAGGCCCCAGCCTGCTAGGCCTGAGGGATGAGCATGGATGCAAGTGCTGTCCTCTTGGTTCAGCTGAGACCAGCTGGAATCTCCCCCAAAGCAAATTTCCTAGGAAACTGGGGGCAAACAAAGGCCAAACAACGGAAAGAACAGAGGTCCCAAGAGGGGGAGGCCAAGCAGGTCCCCCGCCAGGGCGTCCCCAGGGCTGAGCCTGAGCCCGACTCCAAATGCCTGGCCCCCTCCCACCAGCAGGGGCCTCCTGCCCAGGCTCTAGGGAGTATCTCAGTTGGGGCCCCAGAGGCCCTCTCTGTTCCCCTGGGGATCCTGGCAGGGGAGGTGAGGAGAGTAGGGTCAGCAGGGCAGGGATGAACCCCCCCGGAAGAATAAAATGTCCTCTGAGAGGTCAGCAGGGAGGCCCAGGACAGAGGGCACTCTGACCCCCACCCAGTCTGAGGGTCCCCCTGCCTCAGACCCTCACAGTTGTTCAATCTCCTGCCACACTCCTGGGCCTGCGGGGTCCTCCCAAGGGGAGAGGGTGTTCCGAGCAGCCCCCGAGAGTGTCCAGACCATGGGTGCGCTGGCCCGGAGGTGCAAACGGCCTCAGGGCCCCCCAAAGCACCCCGGGCCTGCGGGAACCTCTGGCCTCACCGCAGCGGAAGGCCAGTCAGAGCCCAGACCCGGGGCTTGGCACAGTGGAGCTGCGGACAAGATGTCAATGTTCGCCAGGGGCCGAGAAGGTCACAGGCGGAACCCAGAAGCCTTGGGCAGGGTCTTTCTGACTACACAGAAGGAGCTGGACCCCTGGTGAGAGAAAAGCCCCAGGAGCTCTCTTTTCTCCTGCCTGGGGGGCGTTTGAGACCCCACGCTTGGGGTGTTTCTGCCTCCCCGGCGATTTGGTTTCGAAGGCGTTCAGAACATGCCACCCCCAGCCATGGCCTAGCGATTCTGCTGAGCTGCGGGGGCAGCCAGGGCGCAGGGGTGCGGGAGACCTGGCTCCGGGGCCCCAGATCAGGTGCGGCGGACGCCGGGAAGACAGCGCACTGACACCTCAAACACTGTCCCCCGAGAACTGAAAAGTCGTCCAGGTTCATATAGGGCAAGTGTGGGACAAAGGTCGGTGGGCACGTGCGGGTGGGCCGTCCGGGTCAGGTCGGTCATTGTCATGGGCTCAGTCACCTGGGGGCCTTGCTGGCTCCGGGGGGAGGGGGGAAGCCCTATGGCTTGAGGGGGTGGTTTCCGTCCTGTCACCGGCTGCTTTGCCCGCCGGTCTTCTGCTTGAGTTAAGAGATACTCTGGAAAGAAGAACTTCATCAATTAGAAAGTTCAAGGTCAGAATGGTGGCAGCTGAAGAGATCACTCTTTCAAAGGCCCTCGAGAAGCAGGGACGCAGCAAGGGCTCTCTGCCCTCCCCCTTTCTACCTAAAAGCCTGTCATCACATTTCCCGAGGGAAAGGTGCCCTCCTTGCACCAAGAAGAGAACATTCTTATCACCAGAGCCCAGGGGTAGATGCCAAATCGGGTGTGTACAAACAAACCTGCTAAAACAAGCCTCCAGTTTCTCTGGAAGCTTGCTGGTAACTGCCCCACAATCTACTGGCCCAGCCAAGCCCCTCGGTCTGGTCACATCCCTACAAGGTGTCGTTCTTTGTTTTGGAAAGCATATAAGCTTTGGGGCCTAAGGGCCTCTTAGATCCTTCTTTTGTCTTCTGAAGACTCCTGTGTACACGTAGAAACATTGTAGAAACTGTACGCTTCTCTCCTGCTAATCTGTCTCTTGTCGGCTAAATCTCAGGCCAGCCGCAGAACCTGAGGGGAGCAGGAAGTTTTCCCTCCCCTGCCGTTTGGAATCTCCCATAGATGCTACCAGCCAATGAATCCCATTTGTGTCTAAGTGAATGAGATGGGTTGCTGACTCAAGGCCTCCCAACCCTAAAACAAAACGAGCGAAAACAAAAGCCTTGCTGGGACTACATCAGAATAAAAACTTCTGCCCAGTGAAGGAATCAATCAACAAAACTAAGGGCAACCTATTGGATGGGAGAAGATATTTGCAGATGACATATCTGATAAAGGGTTAGTATGCACAGTATATAAAGAACTGATACAACTCAACATCCAAAACGCAAATAATCCAATTTAAAATGGGCAGAAGGGGCGCCTGGGTGGCTCAGTTGGTTGGGCGACTGCCTTCGGCTCGGGTAATGGTCCTGGAGTCCCGGGATCGAGTCCCGCATCGGGCTCCCTGCTCGGCAGGGGGGTCTGCTTCTCCCTCTGATCCTCTTCCCTCTCGTGCTCTCTGTCTCTCATTCTCTCTCTCTCAAATAAATAAATAAAATCTTTAAAAAAAAAAGAAAAAAAATAAAATGGGCAGAAGGTATGAAGAGACATTTCTCCAAAGAACACATCCAGATGGCCAACAGACACATGAGAAGATGCTCCACATCACTCATCATTGGGAAATACAAATCAAAACTACAATGAGGGCACCTGGGTGGCTCAGTCATTAAGCGTCTGCCTTCGGCTCAGGTCATGATCCCAGGGTCCTGGGATTGAGCCCCGCATCAGGCTCCCTGCTCTGCGGGAAGCCTGCTTCTCCTCCTACTCCCCCTGCTTGTGTTCCCTCTCTCACTGTGTCTCTCTCTGTCAAATGAATAAATAAAATCTTTAAAAAAAAAAAAACTACAATGAGATATCACCTCACACCTGTCACAATGGCTAAAATAAAAAACACAAGAAACAAGAGGTCGGCGAGGATATAGAGAAAAAGGAACCCTCGTGCACTGTGGGTGGGAATGCAAACTGGGGCAGCCACTGTGGAAAACAGTATGGAATTTCCTTTAAAAATTAAAAATAGAACTACCCTATGACCCAGCAATTGCACTACTGGGTATTTACCCAAAGAATACAAAAACACCAATTCACCCCCCACCCCATGTTTATTGCAGCATTATTTACAATAGCCAAGATATGGAAGCAGCTCAAGTGTCCGTTGATAGATGAAGGGATAAAGAAGACGTGGTGTATACACAGAATGGAATATTACTCAGCCATAAAAAAGAATTAACTCTTGCCATTTGCAGCAACATGGATGGAGCTAGAGAGTATTTTGCTGAGTGAAATAAGCCAGTCAGAGAAAGACAAATACCATATAATTTCATTTATATGTGGAATTTAAGAAACAAAACAAATGAGCAAAGGGAAAGAGAGAGAGAGAGAGAGAGACAAACCCAGAAACAGACTCTTAGCTATAGAGAACACACTGCTGGTCACCAGAGGGCAGGTTGGGGAGGGGGGAAACGGGTGATGGGGATGAAGAGTACACTTATCATGATGAGCACTGCATAATGTATAGAATTGTTGAATCGCTAAAAAAAGAAAAACTACAACAAAATCGTCCTCCTTGCCCTCTGGCTCCTGACTATCCCTTGCCTCCCTTCTGCATTCGAACTTCCCACGAGAGGGGCGTACACTTGCCGTCTCCCCCGAGTCCCTCTGGCCTCTCCTCCCCGAGTCCCACATCGCGGGACCGTCCTCCTGGCCCCCTGCAGGGCCTGGTGCTGCGACACTCTCCCTCCCCAAGGCCTCTCCCCGGGCCCCGCGCCAGTCACCCGAGGGCATTCTGCCCCCTGCTCTGGGCCACACACATTCTGCGACTCTTTTTTTTTTTTTTTAATTTTTTAAAAGATTTTATTTATTTGACAGAGAGAACACAAGCAGAGGGAGACAGGGAGAAGCAGGCTCCCTGCTGAGCAAGGAGCCTGATGTGGGACTCGATCCCAGGACCCTGGGATCATGACCCAGGCCGAAGGCAGCCGCTTAACTGACTGAGCCACCCAGGCGTCCCACATTCTGTGACTCTTGCTGGGCTCTGGGGCTCTTCCTGGGCCTTTCATTTCTTCTGGTCACTATCACCACTCCCGGGACAATCACAGCCATCAAATCCCTGTCACCAGCCCAGCTGGCTCTGCTGACCTCCCGTTCACAGGTGCCCCGCGGACGTCCCTCAGAGGAGTCACACCTCAGACGCGACACGTCAGAACTGA